CTGGTCGGTTCTATACCTTGCTTTCTTCCTGAAGTGGCGAATGGATGGATACCTTGGGGCCTCAGGGTGGAGGTTGGAGCTGGCCAGCGTCCCACAATGGCTCGCAACAAGGGGAGGGGGCAGGCCGTGCCGCCGCGGAGAGGGGAGCATCCGGGCGGACCAGGGGGCAGGGGTGCAGGGGTGGGGCGCGGGCTAGCCACGGGAGGAAGGGGAGGGACGGTGGCACGACTACGGGGTTAGGAGCGGCGGCCAGACGACATGGAGACGAAGAACTGCCGACGGTCGATCTCAGTCGGCGATCAGGAATGGCAGCTGTCTAGTTAGGTCTCTCGCTCATGTATGACTTTTTTAGGGGATCGTGTTGGCTTCATGGAGAGGTCGAGAGGAGAGTAAATGTGGAATGTTGGGTTGGCCTGTGAATCCATTTCAATTGTTGAGCCTTCCGCAAATTTGCAGAGTATATACATATAGTAGTAAAAAACTTCCTGGAATTCTTGGTGTGCCACGGCACACCCGGTACACCCACTAGGTCCGCCAATGTGTGAAAAGCTGATGAAATAACATGAGAAACTAATTCATACTATGAACTTACTAACATGTCGAGTAATAGTACACCAACATGTTGACTAATTTTCTAATTTGCTACCCTGTCTTGCATAGAGGCTGCACTGGCCAGCGTAGATCAGGAGTTGGTGTATTATTACACGACTAGTTTTTCTGGTGTGTCATCTACTCAATTTTGAGCTGCCAGACAGGTTGCATCTTAAAGGTGACTTATGCTTTAGGTTGGTCATCTAGCAAAAGAAGCTTGGCTATTAGTATACTCAGCATTGCACTTGCCTAATTTACAGGTAAATTTTCCATGTCCAAGTAACATGCATGTTAGGTGCATGGTCTCCTCATTTGGTTGTTCAGGTATTTCAGCCTGTATTTTCTATGTGATACATGTCCCCAGAGTAAGAAAAGTAATTTTATTAAGAAAAGAGGGAAATAGAAAGTCTATCTTCGATCATAGCGGAAAATCATACATAAAGGTTAAAAAAACATGAAAAAATGGATTGCATGTGGAGACGGATAGAAACACGTAATATATGTGAAATTTAGCACGAAAAAGGATTTCTTTGTGGATATAGACTATCATAACTTACTGAAGCTTGATGTAACATAACTTAATTTTTGATCTTTTTAAAAAAGAAAACAATGCTCTTCATGGATGTTTTTTTTTCACATCAACTAAGATTATATACTTTCTCGCTAGCAACCACCAGTTTCGGCATCCCCACGCATGGCACAAGTCTTCTTTTCCTTTTGGTCGATCTACAAGATCGTTCATATTCTCAATTGCTTACAAATATGAAAAGTTGAAGACATCAGTTGGATATTGTTTCGTTTGAAGCAAACTACATTTCAAGTTTTCCGAATGGTCATGTTTCTTTACCGCAAGTATATTATCTTAGTCAGTTTGACCAATTTCGAGACTTAGATATTCACATTTCTATGAAAAAGGCCTCAAATGTATTTCCCAAGGGGGTAGATTATTTTCTTCATCCCAAACAGGCTGATGTCACAACACCCCTGCTGCCTCTCCATCACTGAAGCCAGCCAATAAATGTTGATCACAGATAAGAAGTCATCGAGGCTACAGTCCTACCGAACTTGCGCCCTGGAGAGAAAAAATGTTGAAGCCATCGCAGTTGGAAGATAACACTTCTCAACCTCGAAAAAAATGGCACGGCTCACGATGTCAAACAATGTGTTGGAGAGGAGGGTAGATGACCAAACTGCAAAGGGAAGGTGTTGTCGCTGCCATGCCGACAAACACTGCGAACTCTGACCTTATCAGCCACAAAGGACAACAAAAATCTACGCTAATGATCTATCAACACCACCGCGGCCAACACCGTCGAGATGGAGAGGCGCGAGAGAAATAAAATTCGCCAGATCAGCGGCATCACCAGTACAAACAGAGTGTCGGAGTCTAACTCTACTTAAACCCACAAGCGGGGGGGATTGAGCTACATAAGGTAGATCGTGAGCTTCCCGCACTCCCACACCAAGGAGGGGAACGGCGGCTTAATGGAGTGGGAGAAACAACGCCAGTTGAGTTTCCAGACTGTTAGATCACCATTGAACGGGCATGATTGTTGGGTAACGTAGTAATTTCAAAAAAAAAATCCTACGCACACGCAAGATCATGGTGATGGCATAGCAACGAGAGGGGAGAGTATTGTCTACGTACCCTCGTAGACCGTTAAGCGGAAGCGTTATGACAACGTGGTTGATGTAGTCGTACGTCTTCACGAATCGACCGATCCAAGCACCGAACGTACGGCACCTCCGTGTTCAGCACACGTTCAGCTCGATGACGTTCCCCGGGCTCCAATCCAGCTAAGCGTCGGGGATGAGTTCCATCAGCACGACGGCATGGTGACGATGATGATGTTCTACCGGCGCAGGGCTTCGCCTAAACTCCGCGACGATATGACCGAGGTGGAATATGGTGGAGGGGGCACCTCACACGGCTAAGGAACGATCCGTAGATCAACTTGTGTGTCTATGGGGTGCCCCCCTCCCCGTATATAAAGGGGGAGAGGAGGAGGGGGCCGGCCTAAGGGGAGGCGCGCCCTAGGAGGGGGAAACCTACTCCAAGTAGGTTTGCCCCCTCCCTTTCCTATTCCAAGAAGGAGGGGGGAGGAAAGAGTGGGAGAGGGGGAAGGCAAGGGGGGCGCCCCCCCCCCTTCCTTGTCC